ATGGGATTCTGGGATTCTGGGGTCAGTTGTGGGGTTTCTGTGTTTGTGGGGTGGCTGTTGTTCCTGGGGTCCTTATTGGGGTGAGCTGTGGGGTCTGCCTGGCGTCCGTCCGTCCGTCAGCGTCCGTGGTTCTGGGGTCAGTTATGGGGTTATGGGGTTGGTTATGAGGTCACCTATGGGTTCTGGGGTTCTGGGGTGGGTTATGGGATTATGGAATTGGTTCTGGGGTTATGGGGTTGGTTATGGGGTTATGGGGTTGCTTATGGGGTAACCTATGGGTTCTGGGGTTCTGGGGTCGGTTATGGGGTTCTGGGATTGTTTATGGGGTTATCGGGTTGGTTATGGGGTTATGGGTTGGTTATGGGATCACCTATGGGTTCTGGGGTTCTAGGGTGGGTTGTGGAGTTATGGGGTGGGTTATGGGGTTATGGGGTCGGTTATGGGGTTATGGGGTCGGTTATGGGGTCAGCCATGGGATTCTGGGATTCTGGGGTCATTTGTGGGGTTCTGTGTTTGTGGGGTGGCTGTTGTTCCTGGGGTCCTTATTGGGGTGAGCTGTGGGGTCTGCCTGGCGTCCGTCCGCCGGTCCGTCAGCGTCCGTCCGTCCGTCCGCCGGCCCCCAGGTGTACGTGCTGAGCGCCCAGGAAGGCGGGCGCCACAAACCCTTCGTGTCGCACTTCAGCCCCGTGGTTTTTTCACACACCTGGGACATCGCAGCCAGGGTGCTGCTGCCGCCCGGAAAGGTGTGACCCATAGCTGCCCCATAGCCGCCCCATAGCTGCCCCATAGCCGCCCCATAGCTGCCCCATAGAGACCCCATAGAGACCCCATAGGGACCCATTGACTTCCATTGAGACCCATTGACTTCCATTGAGATCCATTGAGTTCCATTGACATCCATAGAAGAGATCCATGGAGACCCATAGAAGCATCAGCCCCATAGAGACCCCATAGAGACCCCATAGAGACCCATAGAGACCCATAGAGACCCCATAGGAACCCCATAGAGACCCCATAGCTGCCCCATAGCCACCCCATAGCTGCCCTATAGAGACCCCATAGAGAGCCATTGAGTTCATTGAGATCCATAGGAACCCATTGAGATCTATGGAGGCCCATAGAAGCATCAGCCCCATAGCTGCCCCATAGAGACCCCATAGAGACCCCATAGAGACCCATAACTGCCCCATAACTGCCCCATAGCCGCCCCATAGAGACCCTATAGAGACCCATTGACTTCCATTGAGACCCATTGACTTCCATTGAGATCCATTGAGTTCCATTGAGATCCATGGAGACCCATAGAAGCATCAGCCACATAGAGACCCCATAGGGACCCCATAGAGACCCCATAACTGCCCCATAACTGCCCCATAACTGCCCCATAGCCGCCCCATAGAGACCCCATAGGGACCCCATAGGGACCCATTGACTTCCATTGAGATCCATAGAAACCCATTGAGATCCATGGAGACCCATAGAAGCATCAGCCCCATAGAGACCCCATAGAGACCCATAGAGACCCCATAGAGACCCCATAGAGACCCCATAACTGCCTCATAACCACCCCATAACCCTATAGCCCTATAGCCACCCCATAAGGAACCCATAGAGACCCACTGACTTCCATTGAGATCCATTGAGTTCCATTGAGATCCATAGGAACCCATTGAGATCCATGGAGACCTATAGAAGCATCAGCCCCATAGAGACCCATAGAGACCCCATAGGGACCCCATAGAGACCCCATAACCGCCCCATAACCCCCTGGCCCTACAGCCACCCCATAAGGAACCCATAGAGACCCACTGACTTCCATAGAGATCCATTGAGTTCCATTGAGATCCATTGAGATCCATGGAGATCCATAGAAGCATCAGCCCCATAGAGACCCCATAGAGACCCCATAGGGACCCCATAACCGCCCCATAACCGCCCCATAACCATCTGGCCCTACAGCCACCCCATAAGGAACCCATAGAGACCCATTGACTTCCATTGAGATCTATTGAGACCCATAGAAGCATCAACCC